CCCAAGAAAACTTAACCTATTAGCACGGCATATACAAAAACAATCAGCAGCCTAACTCGAGCTTTATATCCCAAAATGGCGGAGTGCGCAGATGCGATGGGCATTGAAACTCATTGTTCTGCCATTTAAAGATAGACTGTATCCTCGAATGGCGGCGTGCGCAAAAGAGATACGCGTGAGAGTTAACCTGCAATCTGTTTTTGTATATGCTGTGCTAATAGGGCTGCTTATTGAGCTGAAAGTGTCTGCGAAGTCCACGAGACCCCAATATTTGTGACGTCAGCTGCAGACCTCAATTCTTGGCAGAAAATGCATTATCCGAGTCCAAAAAACGAATTGATAAACGTTGAAATTGCCTGCGGATAATGAAAAGGAGGTTGAGCTCTCAGGAATACCTGCTAGAAAACGGGAAAAACAAGGATACAAAATTTAATAATAAAATTTCTATCTCTTATGGATGTAAAAGCATATCACTCTATCAAAAATCTATGAAAGAAAATTGTTGTGCAATATTGTGTATTATTTTCTCACAAGCAATTTTTATTCTCACGATTTCTTACGATTTTTCTTTCTCGATTCTCACGAATTTTTTAAATTTTATCTGGCAACACTGACTACGGGTATTTTAGTTATATAGATAAGGTGATGGGTGTGATGGCAAACCTTATATAAATTTGTTATGAACACATTGGTAACGGTTACTAAAAGTTTTATAAAATGGTGATGGAAACACTTATATCATATATACTTGTAACTTACAGTAATCATATAAAACCGGTATATAAATACATTACCGAAAGGTACGGCTTATAAAACTACGAAACTTTCGTATATACTTCTATTACCTTTACATAACCAGTATAAAACTTGGTGTTACTATAAGTTGCGAAAAATGTTTATTGGGAACACAAGCCTTTTCTACATAAAAAATTTGAAAGCATTGACAATTTCACATTGCATTGCCAACATAATGTCATTTTTACTTTTATCTTTAAAAAAAAAAAAAAACTAATCGATTTTTCGGGCATGATTTTATTAGCAACTTCTATTTTATGAGTAAGTGGATCTGCTATATATCCTTCCGGTACCTGTGAAGACTTCCACCCCCCGTGTCTTTTCATGTTTAAAATATCCACACCTGGAGCATTTGCTAGTAAAGTAGAGGACGTTCTTCGGAATGAGTGGCCGGTGTACCGATTTGGGTTTGTTATTTTGAGAAATTTGGCTATGTCGTACCAAGGGCGTACCCAGCGAGGGGCAGGGGGGGCAGCTGCCCCCCCTAAATTTTTTTATAAATTATAAAAAGGCTCCGCTAAGTGCAGAAAATAAAAAAATCAAAATAAACCACTATGGTTTTACTAAAAAAATTACAAACCCGAAAAATATACTACTAAATACTACTAAAATATATTCATATACCTACGTAAGTCAAACGCAGCGCACTGCACAGCCTACTAGATTTGCAATTAGCGGAATTAGCAAAGAAATATAAATTTTCTATTACGATCCTGGCCCCTGCGAATTTGTTGTATAGTGTTGTTTTTCTAACGGAAATCGATTATTTTCATTTGTTATTCAATGTTAATTTGTTTGTGCAAGTACTGCAAGTAAACTTAATTTACTTAGTTGTTGATAAACGTCTATGCTATGTTGTTAGCAGTTACGTTACACTAGTAAACATTGTCAGAAATTTATATTAGATTGTACTGTAACGAAAATTACCCTGAGTCCGCCTCTGACTCTTCCCGGCCGCGTGGAGAATTCTCGAGACGCAGCGCGAAGCTTCGTACGTGCTGCGGAGAGAATCTTCGAGAAGCAGGCGCTTCGGATATAAAAGGAACAATGTCGGGCGGCGAGGGCAGATTTGGCCAGTGCCGGGTTGAAGAATAGAATACTTTTATAAATAAATACAAGATACAAGGCGTTACATAAACTAGTTAGTGTGTTTAGTTAAATTAATCAGAGTGAATTTTAGTTAAGTGTTAATAAAACTATAGTTTTAATTAATTGGCAGCTTTTATCAAATCGTAGTCGAACAAGTTCACGCTAAAAACGTTACAGTACTTATTGGAAAATCTGCTGAATCTACCTATTTCGGGCATCTCGGTATCTCCACACTGATAAATGGATATCAGGAAATTTTTTCAAACAGGTAAGTTACAGTTAGTAAGTTACATTCGACGACATTTGTGTAATATCTGTAAATTCCAATTAAAAAAAACAAAATGTTTTTTTCCATGTTACATGTTAAACAAAACACTAACATGGATATCACTCACACTGTATAAAATACTAATAGCGGCATTATTGTGTTTTGCAGCTACTAAAACTCTCAAGAGGAAAAAAGAACATGACAGTAGCAGCGGGAGCGATGATAACAATGATCAAATTTCATCGCCAAGCCCATCTAAAACTGAATCTGAATCTGAGCAACCGCTAAATTCTTTGAGATCTAAGAAAGTCACTGCTCCTAATTTAGAATCTTTACCGTCAACATCTGGCTCTGTAGTCAATCCCGAAATTGAAGAGAATGATGGTTGCCACGAAAATGACTTGGGTCGTTATGTAGGACAAACATTTCACCTGACGATGGAAAGAAAAAAAGAGTTGTTAAAAAATCCGTGGGTTCCACCCAAGAATTACGATTTTGCAGCCGATGCCAGTCATTTGCGAAGAAAATTTAATTATGCTTGGTTAGATCAATACACACCATGGTTAGTGTATTCCAAGCGACTACAGGGTGCTCTGTGTAAGCACTGTGTTTTATTTCCTCCTTCTACTGGCACAGTAAGGGGAGTGTTAGGTTCATTTATGATCAGACCATTTACGAAGTTTAGGAATATGCACGAAGATTGTCGTAAACATGCCACCAATAACTTTCACAAATCTGCATCTGCTGCTGCAAAGGCCTTTCTCGAAAATATACCTGTGGACATTCAAGTTCAAAGTTTCCACCAAAAAACAATCGAAGAGAACAAGCAAATATTGGCCTCTATGATTTCCTGTGTAGTATTCTGTGGCACACACGATATGCCTCTACGAGGAAAAGAAGCAGATGAGGGAGTTTTTTTCGATCTAATGAATTTGCGAGTTGAGTCGGGCGACATCAAATTAAAGAATCACCTGGAAAAGTGTCGTAGAAATGCTGTTTATACGTCACCAGAAATACAAAACCAACTCATATATTTATGTGGCGAAGTTATTAGGGAGAGTGTGATAAATGATGCAAAGAAAGCCATGTTCTACACAGTTTTATCCGACGAGACAGCCGACGTTTCAGGAAAGGAGCAGCTATCCATTGGCTTGCGTTTCTATGATGAAAGTTAAAAAAAAGTCCGAGAAGAATTTGTGGGTTTTGTGGAGCTGACAGCACAGGATGCCCCAGCAATTGCCAATGCAATAGATAATTTTTTAGTTAGCTATAATTTTTCACCGCATAGTTGCGTAGGACTTGGTTTTGATGGCTGCGCTACGATAGCGGGCAAAGAGGGTGGCGTAAAAGCGATTTTAAGGAAAAAGTACACACGAGCATTATTTTTTCATTGCTCAAACCATAAAATAAATCTTGTTGTCAATGATGCAAATAATGTTCCGGAAATTAGAAACACTATTGGCACCGTAAAGGATGTTATAACCTTTTTCAGGGAATCCACCACTCGCAGAAGTTCCGCTCCTAATCTATCACGACTGTGTGAGACTAGATGGTCTGAAAAATACAAAAGTATTCGCTTATTTGCACAAAATTTCCTCGAAATTGTGAAATCACTTGAAAAACTATCTATCGAAGGAAACTACGCCACGAGAAAATCTGCGTACCAGTTGCATGCCGCCGTTACCAAACCCTCACTAATTGTTGCCCTAACTATAATTGCAAAATATTCAGCTTTACTGGAGCCGGTTGTTAATGCCTTGCAAGCAAAAACTATAGATTTAATTAAGTTGCAAGAACATCTGAACGTAATCCTTAACGTTCTGAAGAAAAACCGTGAAGATGCCGACCTAGTTATTGATGAAGTACTTAAAAAAGCACAAGACTTTGCATTGGAATTGGGAATAGAAATTTCTATCCCTCGAATTACCAAGAGGCAAATACATAGAAACAATCCTCCATCAGACTGTGTTAGTGACTACTGGAAGCGTTCGTTAATTATACCGTATCTGGATTCAATTATAGCCTCTTTAAATATTCGCTTTTCTCAAGAACATACTCCAGCGTTTGCCTTAACAAAAATACATCCATTATATATGCTCGACATGGAAACCAATCAAGTAGAACAAAATGCACAATATTTTACCCAGTTTTATAAATTGGACGATATTACTGCGGAAATGGACCTATGGTATAATTTGTGGAAGGAAAAAAAGTCAACTGAGGACCAGCTAAAAGACGTCGAAATAACTGACCTTCTCGACGAGACCGATGTTTTTTATCCCATCCTAAAACAGGCACTTTTGATTTTAATCACAATTGATGATATTAGTTAGGTTAGAATCGCAAATTGGCGCGGGTTCCTAGTTCAAAAATTAATACATTGATGTCTTATGGGGACTCAATTTTAAAAGCGTCTGTAGTCGTGATAGAACGTTTGTTACGGAATTGGCTGCAGGTTCCCAATATTGGATATCCGATATTAGGTAATGCTTTGAGGTCAATTGCAATAATATATTGTTTACAGAAATGGCTACTAAGAGAAGACAGCAATGATATGAAGCAAATATGACTAGAGTTATAAAGTTTTGAAATAGCATTTGAATAAAAAAATGATTTTCTAATATTGGATACCCTATCCAATATTAGGCTACTATTTTCTAAATGGACAAAATCAGATTTTTTTTAAAAATACCTAATTACTTTCTAAAATATTTTTTTATTCTTTTGCCGACCATATTTTACTCCTGGACAAAATTATCGCACCACTGCTTATGGTGATGCTTATGTGCAGTGGTTCGATAATTTTGTCCAGGAGTATATTATATTATATTATATAGTTATGCTATAACTCCATTAAACTAGCACAAATGTAGGGATTTTTTTTTTGATATAATTTTCCAGTTTAAAAAAAAGTATCCAATAATAGGCGACTCTCCACTAACGTTTTATAAAAAAAAAATATAAATATATATATGTATTTATTTTTTCTAAAAATAAAATGCTGGGAGGGTATAGCTTGTACTCTAAAAATTTGTTAGCATTTTCTTGAAAATGTACATTCAAAATTCAATAAAATAAGTAAGAACTATTGTGGATCTCATAGAAATCCTTATGATTAATTGATATCCTTTCACTTTCCACAACCGCCACACAACTTATGATGCCCACCATGTCCTCCTCTGCCACCCCCATGGCCTCCTGGAAAAAAACATTCATGTAGGCAAATCAGTACGTATTACATATTACTTACTACGTAATAAATATTGCTTACCTCCAAAGCCTCCTCCGAATCCACCACCGCCTCCCCAGCCTCCACCACCGCCAAAACCACCACCGCCTCCGCGGCCTCCACCACCTCCAAAACCTCCACCGCCTCCAAACCCTCCTCCACCCCCACGGCCTCCCCAAGGAGTCGGTGATCTTTTATCTCTCAATGATAAATCGTAGATTTGGATCTGAAAAAATGAAAACCAAAATGATTCAGTTAGCAGCTGTTCAAAAAAAGACATTTTTGAGTTTTTAATGAAAGTGGGAAAATTTATTATTGCATTCAGGGCCGGTTTATTCACCTTCTAATAAACTGTCAGGTACCTATGTAATCTGACGGATAAAAACGCAATCGGTAATCCCATTGATCACCAGTTATCCGCCGACCAATAGAACGATGAATTTATCTGAAGATCAATAAACCGGGCCTTAGTGGAGTAGAACTTCACTGAGCGACGTTTTATGCCTGTTTTCCACCAAATGGACAGAACAAAACACAAACTCGTGTCGAATAAAACAAAACTCAAACTTTTCGCAAACATTTTGAAGACTAGCGTGTTTTGCGACAGTTGGAGTTTTGTTTTTCCGGGTTCCGCGCTCGGAAGCGGTAAACATCAAAGGGTTTCGACGTGTTTTGAAACACGAGTCTGTTTAGTCAATTTTTTATTCAAACGCGGTCTTGTGTTTTGTTCGTTTTTTTTTTAGACGTGATTTCATTTTTATAGCCTGTAGTCTGTATACGGTTTTTTTACCAAATCGATAGGTGATAATTGGTATAGATAGGAAATTTGTTTTGAAACCAACTAGATGGAAATTGCTAGAAAAATCAGAAACATGATTGTCATGATTTCACAATACCAACGTGAAAGAAGAAATTATATTTAAAAAAAAAAACAAAACGTAGTCCGCTTGATGGAAACAAGAGTTTTGGGTTTGTTTCAGTTTCGTTATTGTTTTTCAGAGAAGAATAAGTAAACATAGACAAAATACAAACTCGACAGTCCGTTTAGTGGAAAACCGGCTTAAGGCTAGTATTATTGGAAAACCAAAGACAAATACTGAAATTTTGAAAATCGTCTATCATCGAATAAAAAATAAACAACGCTTCGCTTATCCTTTCTAAATTCGATTCAGTATGTACCTACCCAGTAATAGGTAGGCACTATAAACCAACTTTAAGTTGTCCAAAAATAAATTTTGTTTCAAATTGAAAGATTTTATTTTTTGAAGAGAAAAACCATGAAAGTTTCATTCATTTTGACCCGTTTTATTTATTTATAATAAACAAACCCAACAGATTCACATCCAATTAGGTATAGAGTATCTAGAAAGTGTAAGTATACTAGATAGCCACAGACTTGTGACGTGGTAGCACTGTAGCACCTTTATTTTATACATTGGTCATGATTTTCCTAATATCTCTCACATCTAAATTTCATTAACTTTCCTATTTGAACTTATCTAATCCTAGGTTGAAAATATCACATTTACTCCATATTGGTTGTAAAGTTTACACATTGAGGTGTTTAAATTAATCCTCAGACAAAATGTAATCGTTTTATAGTTTATGTTGAATAAAAAATTCAATTAAATAAAACCTAGATACCTGTGTAGGTATAGTTTAGTTTTGCAAATAAAAAATATGGTATCTATAAATTTTATCTCAACTTTTACCTTTTCAACTGATGATTGCAATTGTTTGTCATGTTGAACTTCTCTCACACTTTTGACATCTTCTATGGGAGATCCCCAAACAATTCCAACAAGCACTGTTATAGTAAATACCTTTAACATAGATGCCATATTTTTTCATACTGATTAATCCAGTCCCAGTATGCCTCTTATATAGCGGCAATTTTTTCAACGCTAGCACTTGAAGCTAATTATTCTTGTTTTGTTTGATGATTCTTAAAACTAAATAAGAGGTTTTTTTTTCGAATACTTAAGTGATGTTCTTAGATGGTACGAGGTGAGGTCTATACATATAAACAATCAGCTACTCAGAACACGTTTTTTTTTTAAAAGTCTATTTCGAGAAATGATTTAATTATGTTATTAATATTTGCTTTAGTTATGTAATCTATTAATTTTTTGCACTAATGACTGGATGCGTGAAATAGGCATTTGCATTTTGTTTCAGAACATCAAAAAATTCAATACAAATATTTATACAGGGTGTCCCACGGTGGCTGGCGTATTAGACGTTTATGGAGAACTAAAAAGCGGATTATTTTGAAAATTTGGCAACCGGTATAAACGACCATGATCTACACTTTAAAAATATTTTTGACTATGCGGTGTTGCCGCTTCTACTCTAAACTAGTGGCAACATCGCTATTTTAAAAGGAACACCCTGTATGTGATTGCATATTTGGATTCTACGTAAAATTCTGAGCAGATTTCATGTGATGTACCCTATACCTAAGTTCAGCTGTTTTGGAAATATTGACAGTTGAAAATTGACTTTTTGCAACTTTGACAGGCTGTAAAACCTGAACGGTTAATTTTAGAGGAAAACCGATTTCACATTCCTATCTTAGATTTTTATAAACAATCATTTGACACCAACTTTGAATTAAATCTATGATTAAAAATTCCAGTTAAATTTAATCCACGGTTAAGTTCAAAGTTGGTGTCAAATGATAGTTTATAAAAATCTAAGATAGGAATGTAAAATCGGTTTTCCTCTAAAATTACCCGTTTAGATTTTACAGCCTGTCAAAATTGCTAAAAGTCAATTTTCAACTGTCAATATTTCCAAAACAGTTGAACTTAGGTATAGGGTATATCACATAAAATCTGCTCAGAATTTAACGTAGAATCCAAATATGCAATCACATACAGGGTGTTCCATTAAAAATAGCGATGTTGCCACTAGTTTAGAGTATAAGCGGAAGCACCGCATAAACAAAAATATTTTTAAAGTGTAGATTATGGTCGTTTTCGTTTATCCCAGTTGCCAAATTTTCAAAATGATCCGCTTTTTAGTTTTTCATTAACGTCTGATACGCCATCCACCGTGGGACACCCTGTATACATAGATATCTATCTGACATTTTGAGATTTTTTTTTAAAATTTATTTAGAAAGTAACAAACGATCTCAAAACTAATTCACAGCCTTATGGAGAATAACAAATTTTCAGATATTGAAGATTTTTCCAAAAATAACTGGTCTAGGAGAAGGAGACGACCGCATTTTTCCTACCCCGATCGAGTTATGTGTCGACACTATTATCAATATATAGTATTATGTGCATCTATTAACCTGTATTCCTGCCTGAGAGCAAATGCTGCCGAAAATATCTTTTAACAAATTATTAACAAATTGAAAAAAACGTAACACTACCCCCATCGAGTTATGCCCTAAGTGGGGTATCAGATTGAAGGTCTCGATGTCCCCTATCTAAAAAAGTCGATCCTGCCTCGTAAGAACTTGTCGGAAAAGGGTGGCAGGACAGCTTATTGGAGCAAGGGCCCGCGGTTTCTGCTTTGACACCTATCAAGCTTTGCACTAAATGATGTGTCAAATTAAAGGTGTCAATAAGTTGATTTAAGGTCTCTTCGCACAAAAATCCCAAACCAGAAGGAGTGAATTTCATTGTCTGAAACTAATTTCCTGGCTGTTCCCAACCAATGAAATTCGCTCTGACTGGTTTGTGATTTCTGTGCGAACAGACCTTAATCGCACGGAAATCACAAACCAGTCAGAGCGAATTTCATTGGTTGGGAACAGCCAGGAAACTAGTTTCAGACAATGAAATTCACTCCTTCTGGTTTGGGATTTTTGTGCGAAGAGACCTTAAAAATCAACTTATTGACACCTTTAATTTGACACATCATTCAGCGCAAAACTTGATAGGTGTCAAAGCTGAAACCGCGGGCCCTTGCCCCAATAAGCTGCCCTGCCACCCTTTTCCGGCAAGCTCTCACGAGGCAGGATCGACTTTTTGGATAGGGGACATCGAGACCTTCAATCTGATACTCTACTTAGGGCATAACTCGATGGGGGTAGTGTTACGTTTTTTTCAATTTGTTAATAATTTGTTAATAGTATATTGTGTATTTAGGTGGAAAAGTGACACATTCTCGGCCGCCGGTGTAAGTTGACGGGCGAGGCGTAGCCGAGGCTGGCAAACCCCTAAGGCCGAGAATGTGCTTTTTCACCGAAATACACATACTATTTTTTCTGAGATCGGTTAAATATCTGTTAAACGTTTGTATTTTTGTTCCAATTGTTCAGCAGTACGAGAATCACTTTCCCGGCCTAGGCCGGAAAAGTGACTCTCGTATTGTTATTCATTGATTCCTTAGCAACTATTGAAACATAATTAAAATAACAGAATATTGGGTTTTGCGACTTGTCAACTGGTCAAAAATGCGGACATTTCTTGTCATCTCAGAAAAAAGATATTTCCGGCCGCATTTGCTCTCAGGCAGGAATACCGGTTAATAGATGCACATAATACTATATATTGACAATAGTGTCGACACATAACTCGATCGGGGTAGGAAAAATGCGGTCGTCTCCCTAACTAAACAGTTTCCTAAATTAAAGTTATGTCATTGCCAATAAGACTTTAATCAAAAAGGCCTAAAGACACTTCCATTTGCACCACTGGTTTCAGCCACCCTGTATACTACATATGAAGACGATTCTGTATACTACATTCAGAGTAATTTCTTGCAACCTGGGACTTTCAGTGTCTCGTCAGACATATTTTTCCTTGATTGAATCACACCTTCGATATGGAATCTCATTCTGGGGATGCTGTTCGGCGAGCCTGTTCCATACTGTATTTGTGCTACAAAAGAGAGCGCTTCGGTCCATGTGCTCTGCCAGAAGGAGAGACACTTGTCGCCCTTTGTTTGTGCGCCACTCGGTTCTAACATTGTACTGCATTTTCATTATGGAAACGGTATGCCTTGTGCGCAAAAAGTTTAGAGAAGAGCTGTTCTTGCCTCAGACTTACAATACTCGTCAGACTTTCATGTTGCCTTTGCCGATTCCTAAGTCCGATCAGGTGAAAAAGTCCATTATTTACAATGGCAAAAAAATGTTCAATCATCTTCCTTTGTGTTTGAGACGGCAACGATGTGCGAGGATATTTAGAAGGTCAGTTAAGAGGCTATTGCTAACAAAGGCATATTACACCTTGGACGAATTTTTTACCGATCTCTTAGGTTAAGTTTCACAACATTTATGTTAGATGCGAATAAAGCTATTTTTGACTTTGACTTGACTTGACTTGACTTTCTCAATCAATTTAGATAATATAAATAATAATAATATGCTTTGTTCAATCAAATTTATGATTGGCTATGTTTGTTGCACCTAGTGATTGCACCTCAACCTTGAAATGACAGAGTGTAATTACCTATTAGGTAGGTACCTGATGGTACCTGGGGTACCTGGACTACCTTAAACAAAATAGAGAGAAGATATCCATGGACGATTGGTGGCTAGAAAACCAACCAGACAAAAGAAAAGACTATTAAATAATTAATAATATTTTTTTCTGCGATTGACAAGAAATGTCACCATTTTTGACCGGTTGACAGGTCGCAAAACTCAATATTCTGGTATTTTAATTATGTTTCAATAGTTGCTAAGGAATCAATGAATAACAATACCGGAAACACTTTTCCGGCCTAGGCCGGGAAAGTGATTCTCGTACTGCTGAATAATTTGAAGAAAAGGACAAACATTTAACAGATATTTAACCGATCGCAGAGAAAATAGTATGTATATTTCGGTGGAAAAGCACATTCTCGGCCTTCGGTGTTTGCCGGCCTCGGCTACGCCTCGCTCGTCAACTTACACCGTCGGCCGAGAATGTGTCACTTTTCCACCTAAATACACAATATACTATTGTAAAAAGTTAATAAAGCACGTACATTTTCTGAAGACTCCTTGTGCAATCAATCAAGCATACTTTATTGGTCCTCCGATGCTCGAACTTTATTAGATCATTTCAATGCAACATGCTTATATATTTACAATAAGACAAGCTTCAATATCTGAAAATTTTGTGAAATTCGATAGAAAATACTTCTCGAACTAGACCTCATCAACTTCAATGATATAGCAAAAATCGCAATGTGTATTTTTTTGATGACCGTTTTATTTTTTACTTAAAAAAATCCAGGAGTGTAAATTAAAATCTGAATGATAATTAATATAGTATTCATTTAGTACTATTACAACGTCGTAGGTATATAAAAAGAAATGACTTCATCGGATACCTCTTCGGTATAGGTATTTCCCATGTAGGTTCTCAAGAATTAAGCGGTAAATGATTTTTCACCTGCGTCATCGAACAGCGTAATTTTTTTTTACTTCAAATAAAGTATGGTGGAAGAGCTAAATTAATTATACTTTATTTTTTTCCAAGATAGATTTTGACATTGTCAACTTTGAAACATAAACAATGCAGCTAATGCCACTTATTGGCCGCTATTGTAAAACTGATGTCAACCTGCAGAAACACCTCATTTTGCGACCAATCAGGGTCAAGCGTTATTGTTTATGTTTCAAAGTTTTCAATGTCAAAATCTATCTTGGGAAAAAATAAAGTATAGGTAGGTACCCTTTTTGATAAATCATTTGGTTTTCTTACTACGGTACCAGTTGCATCAAAATGTAGCACCACAAAGTTTACTGCTTTTTTTTGCCAACATAATAATTCTAATTGTTCCTTACTGTAGATTTGCACACAAAATGGCACCGACACCTCTTTTATGTATTCTGGGTGATCTTTCTGCATTTTGAACATATCAAACAAGTCGTCCTTGTCGCGATCGAAATGTGCCATTGCTTCGGACTTTATTTTTCTAAATGTCGTGTCTGATTTTATTTCCTG